TCGGTTGATCTACGCGCCCGAAATCGTGGATGAATTATTGCATTCACACAAACACACACACACACACATACAACAATTTTTTCCAAGGTGTGCCAAAATATTCAGAAACCTCTAAAACATGAAGATATGCAAATAATTTCAAGGATGATTACTATAACTCGCCCCACAAGAAGTTAAAAGAAGTTATAGCTTCAGTAGATTTATAAATTGTGCCTATAAAACATAGTATAGATAAATATAGTATTTAGTATTATAGTATTGAATGAATATAAATAAAGGATCATGTGAATCAACCCCACGAACAATCATTACATGAATAAAGACAAAGAACGAAGAATTACGTTTAGTGTGGGACTCGCGGTAGTAAAATATAGTTGTCTCGAGTCGGTGTCTAGTATCACGGTCGTAAAATATTTATCTGTGAAGGGTTGGAAACTGATATCCTCCAGAAGTGGCCAACATAACGGTTGATTATTATATGTATTGTGTATATCTTATTTCAAAAGTATTATTCTTATGGGAATGAGAATTAATAAACGTGTACGGTTATTAACCCGAAGACGCAGATGACAAAAGAAACGCAGTCCCGTTTGGAAATTTCCTCGCATATGTTTATTGCAACTGGTAAAACCAACGAATCGTCAGGATAAAGTTAGTTAAATAAAACCAATGTTTATAATTAATATTGTTTTAATAAATATTCAATAAATAGCATACTTAGCACATACTCGTGTTAAATTCTCGTGCAAATACAATAATTATGATTGTCTAAAAATTTCGATAAAAGTAATCAAAAGAGTTGCTCAAACTTTCTGGGGACAAACCTGGATAACTTTACAAATTTATAACTTCCCGTAGGGTAAGTTATTGTAATGGGCCGAAAATCGAAATTGAATTTTTTTACATTTCTCGACGTTTTGAAGGTTTCTGAACATTTTGGCATAAATCAGAAAAAATGGATGTGTGTGTATGTATGTATGGATACAATTTTTCGTCCACGTTTCGGGCGCACGGATCAACCGATTTGAATGGTTCAAAAAACATTCGATTAGTATTGATAGGGAGATGTGCTGATTAGTTTTTGGCAAAGGCAGGTCCAGCAGTTACGGAGATAGAGAGCAAAAATTGCAGAAAATAGAAATTGAGTTTTCGAGAGAACGGAGTATCGGATTTGAATGACCTAAAAACCATTGAATTAGTAATGATTGGGAAAAGTGTTTATTAGTTTTTGGCAAAGGCAGGCCCAGCCATTTCGAAGATACAGAATTAAATGTGCAAAAAATGGTAGTTTTTGAGAGAGCTAAGCGTCCGATTTAAATGATTCAAAGAACTTTCTGCTTGTCTTGACAAAATAATTGATTTTGAAAAAAAAAATTTATTGTTTCAACTTTTTTTTTCAATTTTTATTTTCGAAATTTTTTTTGTATATCGAGAATAATTCAGAGTTTATTTTTAATTCCGACTTCTTCTAATTCTAATTTCTTCTAATATACTTTAAACAAATAATTTCAACTTTGCAATTCAGTTTATATAATTCTTATAAATATTAAACAATGTTACAATATTTATAATAATCTATTTGAAAACATTCAATATTCCTCGAACATTTCGTTACGGTAGGGAAGTTCCAGCAATTTGCCTTAAGGCACGATGCCATGCACCCCACTAGTTATTTTTTATTTATCGCGACTAAAATTTGTTTTTTTTAATAATAAGAATAATTATAGAGAAATGATATTTTTTCAGAATTTTTGTACCTTTCCACTTATGTTATAAGCCAGTAACTCTTTATTTTACAGGATAGGAATTTGGAAAAATTATTATTATATTTTACCAAAAATAGGGATGCAAATATCAACAATTACAGATAACATATTGTGACACAACACATATTAAGAGGCAGATTATTAAGTAGGAATGAGAGCTTTTGACGAAATGGCTCACTTGCTTTTTCATTAGAGAATTATGAATATGTAAGATTTATTATCTATTTGTTATCTTAGCATCTATCAGAATCATTTAAGGGTTCGATTATTCATTTTAATTATACTCAATATTTCAATGTGTGATATATTATGTAAAATGAAATTAAATTTGTCAAAATCTACATAATATTGAAATCGATCATTTGTTTCTATATATATATATATAGGTATGCTAAAAAAGATGTCTCTCGAAAAATATACTGACAAGTTACAAAAGACAAAAGGTGTAATACAAATAGAAATAAAAGTTTGGACATACAATAGTGTATCTAAAAATGAACAGATATCGCTACAACATTTACTAAATAAAGTGCAAGTAAGACAGTTTCGTAAATTACCGCTCTTTATTGAGATAGGAAAAGTTTGGATGCAGGCAGATAGGAACACTCACTGCTTTTCTAGTTCCTTCATCCAATTCTCGATCTTCCATTGAACCACCCAGCAATCTTCTGATCTGCAGAAAATTTATACAACACTTTCGGCTAAATAGCGCCTTAAGTTAAAATAATATCCTTACTATTTTAAAATTGGTTCAATACTTAATTTGGGCAGTTAACGATTGTCGTAAGCGGAACTGCCCCTGTGGATCTTGAAGTATCGACAATACAAAAAGTAACAACGAGCATATATATATTGTATATTGCTAACGTTTCATTTAAAACCAGTGATTTGAAAAAAATGTTAGAACCGCTAGCGATATAAATATTAACAATGCATCAAACATGAAATATTTCAAACCCTATAAACCACAATTATACATTTAGATATTACGCTTCCACTTATAATATTATTATTTATTTAATTTCCTACTGGCATAAATTTGAGACGAAATACTTTTTTGTAACTGTGCAGAGTGGTGCTGCAGCCATAAAGAACCAAAATCATGCAACATCTTAAGCAAAATTCATGCCAACTTGAATTTACTAATCAAAATTTAATAAACAATTAAAACCGAATAATTGTGTAGGAAAGAGTGAAATCTTAAATATAATGTTATGTTATATAAATAATAAAGAGAGTGAAATGTGAAATTTAATTTAATTAATATAAATAACATGAATTTTATGTCATATTAAAAATGAACCGTATCTTCAAACTGATAAACATAGCATCATTTGGAATAAATGTAAAAAATATTTATTTAAATAAAAATGTTAAAACTATGAAAAAATCATGTATTCAATTATTATAACAACGTTCGAATCCATTCAGTGCCAAGAAATTAGAAGCATTTTCCAAAACTACACACAGGCTTTAGAATAAAAAATGTAATATTATATGTATGTAATTGCAAATAAATTCTGTAAATACAAATCGTAAATCTGTCCTTTAGCAATAAGTGCATAATATTTTTTCGTGTTTTGATTACTTGACCAATTCATTTGGTATTTAATTTCATGTAAAAATAATATAACAATTTAATTTATTAGTAAAAAAACTTCGCTAAAAATAAGAATATAATATTGATAACATATTAAAGTATGTACTTATACTGTATAGGAAAAAATGTATAAAATATAAATAATTATACTCAGAATGAGTAGTAGTATTGACATCGAATGGATTAACAAAATCTCAGTTTGAAGATTAAATACCACTATGAAGATGATTGCAATGAAAAGTTTAGAAATATATACTAATAAATGATACTTACAAAATATATTCTCGCTTACCACTAAAAATTCCATTTTATCCACTCTTTGATTACCATCGGTGTCGAACATATTAAATGCTATTTTAAATCCTGATTGTGGCTCTGAAAAGGGAAAATATTAAGAAAAAATACTAAATTGTTTATTAAAAAACTGATAATGCCATTACCGAGTTATTAATTATTGTTGGTATTATTTAATTTACTTACTTGTTAATATAGAGAGCAGAAATAAATATTCCGTGTAAGATATTATTCCTGAAACCAAATAACATAATAATAAGCTCAAATAATTATTATTGAACTAAACTTTGTGAATAAGTTTAAAATCCAATTAAATCCAATCAAATTCCTAAATTTTTGTATCTTATACTAGTAACAGTAATAGAAACTAATACTAATCTATCTATGAACATTACAAATCAAGATGTCATATCGAAATTTATTTTGTAATTGAATTAATGCTGTCAATATGGTATTCAAGTCTAGAGTCATGAATTTTATGCAATATTTGAAAGACTGTGAAAAAAAGGCAAATAATATTTTTATATATTTTTTATTTTTTTATAGTTTTAATTCTAGAAGGTGATCTCAAAAAATTGACGCCTGACCTCCAAATAAACCAAAGAAGAAAAAAGATATTATTAATCTAGAATAATGTCGCTATAATATCAACTACGGACAAGTTAAAATAATTGTTTTTCGCTAAATAGCGGCTGTTGATTAACGTATTTTTATTACAATTTTGATATTCTCGATTTGTGGAATTTGTGGATGATCGTACTGACTTCAGCTCACAGTGAAAAAAATGTATAAAAAAGAATAAAATTTCAAGTAAATTATTAGTCAAGTACAATTTGAGAAATCGTGGGTATCGTATCGAAAAAGGCAGTTTCGAGAAAAATGCGATTAAGTTTCGCAATGGGAAGAAATAGCAGAGTTTCATCATGGTCGAACCAGATACATCTCCAAAAATAATTAAAATGTTTAAAAATCATCTTATACAGATTTTTTTTTTAATTCTGGACTAGAATACGCCCTTTAATTTAAATAAGTCTTTCATTTGAATAGTAATTCCTTAAACTTAACTAAAACTATTTAACATAAACTTTATATAAATATGCATATCACACATGAGTTAATAAAATAGGTAAATTGATTAAAATATCTATGAATGTAAAAGTTTGTCATTGAATAATGTAATGCGATTCTAACGTTTGTCAAGAAAGCAAAATTTGTACTTTCAATGTTTATAACTCTTGAATACTAAGTTAATTATGCTAATGTACATATCAATTAATCATATGTATATATCATCAGTCTATAATATTCATATAATAACTACTATAAATTACGTAGAGAATATACATAAATATTCAATATATATAACTGTATATATTAATTGTTTCATAAAAAAATGTTAATCGATTTTAAAATTAATAAAGAAAACTAATAAAATTTTACCTTATCCTATAATATTAAGATTTAAAAATATATGTTAATCGTTTCGTCAAAAAGAAAGTAATATTAATTAATTTCAGAAAGAATTTTTTTTATAAAATTTTACCTTTTTCTCTAAGGTTCCTAAACATCTGATGTGATCCTTTTTTGAGCGTAGGCGTCGAAGATTTAAGCGCTTGAACCTCCGACAAAGTCAGCTGTCGACGCTTCAGGCGGGCTGCGGATTAACGGCGGAAAGTAATGGCAGAGTAAAGTTTAGACGATGTAGTGCGAAATAAATCTTAATGGACAAGCATTTATTTGCCCATGATCGAGACATATATTACACTCATAAAATACACCAATAACTACAAAATCAACGAGCAAACATCCAAGTGAATAATTACCTTTTTTATTGAATATTTGAATAAAATAACTACAACTAAATCAACTAGCAAACACGCAAGTCAATAATTGCGTTCTTTGTTGAATTTTATAATAAAAAATTTCAACTTAAGATATATGATACTACAATTGGTTCAATATTTGTTATTTTCATTTACTTAGAAGCAAATTGCGCTAATTAATTATGGATATATATTAATGGTATGGTGTAATTGATGTAAGTAGTAAATAAATAATAAGGGAAAATTAATATTAGGATTTAATTACAAAATCGATAATCAAATCTTCTATTTTATTGCCAAACACATGCAATAACCTGTCACTGATTCTAATATTTTAATTAAGAGCAGATTCAGCAAAGTACAAAAATATTAGGAAAAATAACAATTGGTTTATGACCAATAATGAAGTAGTATATCCACGGGAAAATCATATTTTATGGAAATGAAGTTTTTTATGTTTATCTGTATAGTGAGATTATTAAAATCGATACTGAATTTTTTTGTTGTTATTTAATCTAGGTTGTATTTATTATTTTAGATTGTATTGAGTGCTTTATTTATTGTGTTCACCTTATCCAAAAAATATAATCAGAACAATCTTTCATGTCTTTCATGTATAAACATTCTATTTTATTTTATTTATGTTTGTTTATAAAAATTTTGACGATATATGTAGCTTGTTTATCCGAATAAATTTGTAGTGTCTCGACTATTTATATATATTTTTTAATATAATAAAAAAATGTTAAGCCTAGAATCTTCCAATTCACTGTCTAGAAAATATTGTAGCATATCAATGTGAAAATCATATTTCATTAAAATGAAGTTTTTTATATTTATCTGTATAGTGAGATTAATACAATTGATACTAAATACTTACTTATAATTTTTTTTAATATAGTAAAAAAATATTAACGTAACGTAACGTAAGTTTAGAATCTTCCACCTCATTGTCTAGAAAATCTTAGGATGTCATGCACAAATTGATTGTCAAATTCAGTTATACAAAAATACAATTTATGTTGAAAAATGATAGCTAATTATATCTAATGTTCTCTTTATTGATTTATTTAGTTAAATATTTTTCCGAAAAAATCCAGAATAATTGCCTCTTATGAATCAAGATCTTGACGATAATTTGTGACGTAAATGTTTAAATGAATTAATAGCATTTCTGCATTTATGATTTTTTTTGGTATAGTAAAAAAAAATTAACTTACGTCTAGGATCTTGTTCCACCACACTGTCTAGAAAATCTTGTGGTGTCATGTACAATTGATTGTCAAATTCCGTCGATGCAAATCTGATAAATCTTCGCTCTCTTGCAGTTAATTTGGTTGCTTGCTGTAATTGCTCGTCCTTAAAGTAGAGAAAAAAATTAAATTTAGGATAAAATTCATTAATTTTAATCTTTCAATCGCAAAATATCATCAATATAAAAGGAATCATTTATCACATTACTTAGTCTTGAATTAATTAGTTAATTGATAAGAAAGATAAACATTTCCGAATTTACAAACATTATGCAGTAGTAAACTGCATTAGACTAAGTATTTATGTAATTAAAATAATTAAAACACACAGATTAATTATAATTATAATTTATAGGGCTACTATTAGAGTAAATCTATGTCCTATTCTGCTGTATAATTCAAAAAAAAATTCACTAATAGCTTATTATTATTATTAAGGATCACCCTACTTTGAGACATTTTACGATTTATTCTAGAAAAGGTCTCTACCATATTCTTTTAAGTATAAACAATATATAATTAATCATTTAAAAGGCAGCAAAATCCTTTTAAGATCTTATCAGTACTCAAGTGAGCATTTATTTTGTCGTTTACGACTTTGCAACGAGGTGCACTCAAGATTTATTACAGAACTTGGTGAGTTTTATTACAAATTTGGTGCCGTTACAATGCGCCGTTTAAAATAATTTATATCAGATGCTATACCTACACAAGCCCGGTATGGCACAATTAATCAAAAAATAAAAAGATAGTAAAAAAAGAGAAAAATCCCTTGTTATCTGATTGTGCCAGTTGCAGAGAGTGTAAATGTAATATACTAGAACACCAGGTAATGATGCAAGCAACCCTTGGTAATCATTATAAAAAAAAACCCGGCTTGTCACGACACGGTCCTAGTTGGAAATCAGATCGAAGATAAGAATGTAATTAAATAAATGATTTCAAAATAGCCAAAATTTGTGCCATGTGAGTTTTTGTCAAATTCAAATCGAAAATCCAATTTACTCTAAGAATATTTGTATACAAATGCCAAATAACAATGTTATCGTAAGTGCAACAATTTGCTATCACTTACGATAACATTTTTTTTAAATTATATTATTATTAATATTATTATTTATTATAGATAATCAGAAAATACAAATTTCTATAAGCTTCCACCATCGAAATGCCTTTGTAGATAATAATCTATGTTTAGTAAAATGAGCTGTGCTTAAAGTTAGCAGGTCTTCAGACTTTTTTTTTTAGCTTTCCAGTTGGAGAATGTTATTTGATTAATTGCATATCTGGATTTGTATGTTGGTCTAATTTGATATAGTATGAGTTGCTTCTATGATAATAAACGCGTGAAGTAGAACTAATGATATATTCCAAAGTATGTGCCATTTGGAGGTTAGGTTTTAAAAGTTGATATATTACAATTACTGATTAAATTAATATTATACAACTGATTACATTCTTCTCACACAAAAACTCAAATCTAAGGATGCGTATGGATGAGAATATTAAATTATATATTTTTATTTTTTCTCATAGAGGCGACTATTTTTTAGTATCTTCAGAATAAATTCACTACATAATTTCAGATTTTTTTTTAAATTGAAAATAACATTCTTCGAATATCTTGATCAAACTACTCACATATTTGAATACAAAATTTAGTATTACTTAACAGTGATTGTAGTATTACTTCCATACAAAATTATTATAAAAATGCATAATATTGAAAATATAATGTCACATTCTTCGAATGTCCCTGCCATAGAACTAATATATTTGAATATTGAAATTTATATTGCGGAGATTAAATTAATACCATATGACTAAATCGATTATATCATTATTTTCAATTAAGCGTTCAATTATTATGAAAATGAATATAAATGAAAATTCCATATATGAACTGGATGACTTTTAAAGGCTAGAGACTGTACAACTTTCCAGCAAATTCATTTATTTCTTAACTGCACAAATTCAGACATAGTTTTAATTATAATATTCTTCGAATATGTCAGTCATAATACAACTAAAATAGTTATATTATTCTTCTCATTTATTGTGCATAATTTTGAAAATGTATCACGATCATAGATGACTATTTTTAGGAGCTTCAAAATACATTCACTTGATAAATTTCGTGATATTCAAAGAACAACACGATACTATAAACACTATTATGATAATGATCTCGAAAAAGTGTGATATTCAAATGCCATCCACACGACTTGGAACAATAAAAAGCCTTACGGCGATCAATTATTAGATTAAAGGACCGCTTTCTCTTCTAGAATTGAAATAATATATAGCGCCACCCTTATGTTTATTGTGTTACAGTGACCGCGACCAGATCCCAAGATGAACGCCCGAGATAAGATTTCGGCATGGCTTATACTAATAAAATACCCCGAAATAATATTTAACTTATCACAGAGTAAAATTCAGCCGAATATATAAATGAGAAACTATTTTATATAATTGTGTTTCACGGAACTGTTACAAAACTTTGGAAATGTGCAATAAAAAATCGTTGTGTAAGCCCGTGATTCAACATTTGCAAATTGGTGTAATACTATTGGTGTAATACGCTATTTCTCTTATCAGGATGTTATTACAATAAGCATAATAATAGCAAGTTAATAAAAAATATATATCAAGTTTGCATACTTGGTCAGATAATTTTTTAACGTAGAAAATATGAATAGATACCCTCATCTCCGGATTTCTTTAGCGAGTTATAGTCTACAATTAAATAGTCCAGAGGAAATGTATAAATTATTATTATTTTTATTTTATTTTTTTTTTGTCAATCAAAACTTTATTCAAAGTTTTATAATACAAAATTGTTGAGTATATAAAAAAATAATTAAGCATAAATACAAAAATATAAATGTAAATAACAGAATATTAATAAAATAAAATTACAAAATATTGAAATAATAATCTTAACAATTATTTTTATATGAGTTAAAGTAAGCATTATGAAGAGCAAGAATTAATGATCCAATTAATATTTAGGTACATACATATTAAGTTTTGTCATTTTTATAAAATCTATGCTAAAATATAATTATATTTTATAGAACTGTTTCAAAAACTTTTTTTAGATATTTCTATGATAAACGCATTGTAAGAGCGCATGACCCATTATTTGCTAGCTAGGAAGCCTCTAGCTTTTTTTTTTTAATTAATATATTTTGAAATACCACTGATTACATTTCTGTGACAAAGATGAAAAGATGATATGACTATTCTTCTACAGAATCCAATATAATTATTTCCCCAACACATAATTATTTGTTCATTAGAACTAATGTTCATTATTTCACAATCATTTTCTAGAAAAAGTTCAGTGTTACGACTTATCCCTTGTTTATGGCTAGTTGTTACTACTTGCCCCGGCAGATGTTACAACTAGTAACATCTATCGGGGCAAGTAGTAACGACAAAAAACGACAATATTACCTCTGTTAAATTATTCATTTTGAGAAAATTGACATGTTGCTAAGTAATTCTTTTCATAAATCAACGAAAACTATAATTAATACACATAAAAATATGGTATGGCTGCAATTAATACAAATAAAGGATGTAGTGACTCGTGTAACAAAATTTACATGTGCCCAGAGCTTACAATCTATGCATTTCACCCAATTATCTTCACTTGAATGTGTATATAACTTCTGCAAGTTTCAACTAACCCCAGCCGTGATTTCTTTACATTAATCGAAATAGCAATCGCAAAATTGTTGAACAATATCAGAAATTGATATATTTGAAGTAAATTAATAAATAAAATTCAAAATTAGTCGATAATAATAACGCAAACCGAAATTTTATGATAGTATTTCATGTCAAAACTGACGGACCTGCACAATTCTGTACACTGCAAAGGCCTGCGAGACAGAAGCTATGACATTAATATGCAGAACGGTTTACATTCCCAATCGAGATAACAAAATTTAATATCGTTTAAAATCCCATTAAAAAGCGCCTGTTACTATTTACCCCTGTTACATAAAACCATGAAGAATAAGACTAATTACTTATTATATACTTATTATACCCATTTCTATCAAAGAACTTTATATACTTTATATACCCATCATTGTATTCCTTCACACCATTTTTAACTGCAACCCTCACAATATTTATAAACTACTACTGCTATTATGTTCAATTCCAATTATAATTGTAGAAATTTTAAACTTTAGGATAAAACAGACTTAAGCAAAAAATAATTATGGCTCAATTTAAATTTAAGTAAAAAAATTTCATTTAGACTTGGACGAAATATGAGATGCGGAGAAGTCTATTTTCCGTGTTTTGATTATTTCCTGAATGATTAAGAATAATTTAAAACCAAATTCTTAATTTGTAGACGGTAGTATATAGTATTATTTGACATCCCCTATCAATATATTGAAATATATTCATAGCACTTGATACTATCAACACATCTCGAGGCGCGTAATAGACAATTAAACTCCTTATAATAATAACGCATGTTTAATTAACGACGATGTTTGTCGCTCTACACGTCGGTATTTTCTCAGTTTTAATTAATTAAACAGAAGTGAATGAAGTAATCGAAGTAATGGATGAAAAGTATCTACATATAAAGTTTTTGTATCAACAGAGATGTACATCGGACTAAAATTAAAGCACCAACTTGGAATAATATATTTCTTTGAATATATGAATCCGTCATCGGAATAAAATTCCTTGAGCCGTAGCATAAATCAAGGAATAATTTACAATAATGAGACATTATGCTTCATATGAGATAATCATTGCCGTGTTTGGTTTTTAGTATAAAATATAACTCCAATTTCCGATAGCAACAACCTTAATTGAAAGCTTTTGATTTATTGATTGGATATTATTATACACTTATATTAAAAACAGCAAAAATTTTACATACTTACGACAATGTAAAAGTAAATGTAAACTAGTGGGGTGGATGGCATCGTGCCTTAAGGCAAATTGCTTGTTGCTTGAACTTCCCGTACCGTAACGAAATGTTCGAGGAATATTGAATGTTTTCAAATAGATTATTATAAATATTGTAACATTGTCTAATATTTATAAGAATTATATCAACTAAATTGCAGAGTTGAAATTATTTGTTTAAAGTATATTAAAACTATAGTCAGAATTAAAAATAAAATCTGAATTATTTTTGATATACAAAAAATAAAAATTAAAAAAAAAAAAAAAATGGAACAAAAATTTTTTTTCCAAAATCAATTATTTTGTTAAGACAAGCAGAAAGTTTTTTGAATCAATTGAATCGGACGCTTAGTTCTCTCAAAAACTGCCATTTTTTGTACATTTAGCTATGTATCTCCGAATGGCTGGGCCTGCCTTTGCGAAAAACTAATAACCCCTTCTCCCAATCATTACTAATTGAATGTTTTTTAGATCATTCAAATCGGATGCTCCGTTCACTCAAAAACTCGATTTCTATTTTCTGCACTCTTTGCTCCGTATCTCCGAAACGGCTAGACCTGCCTTCGCCAAAAACTAATCAGCTCTTTTCCCTATCAATAGGAATCGAATGTTTTTTAAACCATTCAAATCGGTTGATCCGTACGCCCGAAAACGTGGACGAAAATTTGTATCCATACATACATACACACACACACACACACACACACATCCATTTTTTCTGAAGTATGCCAAAACGTTCAGAAACCTTCAAAACGTCGAGAAATGTAAAAATTTTCAATTCCGATTTTCGGCCCATTACAATAACTTACCCTACGGGAAGTTAATTAATATACGTTCATATGCACTCACTCAATTTAAAATATACAAATCAAACAAAACAAAAAATATAGTATATGCTTACAAAATAAAGCATATCATTTTCAAACATTTCATTCAGATCTTAAAAATTTTAGCTTTCAATTTTAATATAAATCCGATGACCAGTTCCCATCACTAGCATCAATATGTTAAAAAGAAAAAACATTCAGGTGAATACGAATAGCTGATTATTGACACATCGAGAACGAATGAAGTTTTACCCATGCCACTGATAACAAATTCCGATTAAATTAAATTAAGTTAAAAACATATTTTATTAAGTGTAATATACATACTTTCAATAGCAAAGAAGGAAACAGAATTTTGTAACACATCTATGACAAACTATAATAGTGTTTGTAACAAAAATATCGTTTTGCTGAAGCAAAAACTATGGTTTGAATATCGAATATTAGACGTGTATAATTTTTTGCTACATAACTAGCACGCTACTTCTAATTCGATATTTTACCGCATACATTATGAAGTCAGCATCCCTTACATAAAACTCAACTAGTTGGTTTGGTATTTAGCCTTGAGGCAAGTTACATGAACTTCCCGATATGTGCAAATAATCGACTTAATCAATAAAAAATAAATTAATTTATGAGTGATTCTAAGTATTCCGAGTGAATTTATTACACATCATTGCAAACGAACGAACGAACACGTTAACTCGGAGTATTTTCTAAAAGCAAATTTTCAAAAATAAATAATTTTAATTAATCAATAATTATAATTGAACTAGTTTCCGTAGGACTTTAATGGTTTACTATGTTCAAGACCAAGTACACTATCGTTATACCAACTAAATCATCTAATTTTATTTTTAGCAAACGTCAAAAACACTACCCAAACTTTGATGAATTTTTAAAATTAAACTACTTGTCGTAAGGCCGTAATATTTCAGTAAGTTCTATAAGACCATGATATATATCGCCAAAAAAAGTTCCATAAAAATCGGCTTAATTTTTTTTTTCAATAGTTAATTACAAGAAAACGGCTCGATGGATTTTCACCTAAAACTAATCAGTATCATATTCCCAACTAATATCTTTCGAACAGTTTTTGATTTTTTAAAATCGGTTCGGTAGTATGAGCTTAAATGTGGACGAAAGGTTTAACACTTTTTTCCAAATTACAAAGAAACGGCTCGGCGGATCGTCGGACAAAACTGAGAAACGATAATCCTCATCGAGATACATCAAATGCTTTTTAAATATCTAAAATCGGTTCAGGCGTTTTGGAGCAAACGTCGATGAAAGTTCTAATTTTGACAAATGCCAAAAAGACCATACTAATTTTTGCAAACTTTGAAAAATTTTCAAAATTAAACGACTTGTCGTAGGATAAGTAGGTAATATTTTAGTATGATCTAGAACAGGGGTCGGCAACCTTTTAACTGTGGTGTGCCAAGCCACTGTACCAATATGATTCAGAGTGCCGCCTTAATTCTGAACAAGGACGTAGCGTGCATTGGCGGGGCCCCGTATCAAAATTTTTTTGGGGATAAAGTTTCTGCTTCTATGAACAATAATGATCTGAGTGCTGTTTGTGTATCATAGAAGTATTTAACTTCCTGAAAGAAATGTTTAAATTTTTTTGCCAGAAAATGTTTGTTTACAACGATAGGCTGAGCCGATTTCTCGAAATTAGGAGAAGAGTGCTAAAATTTTCGCCCTCGTTTCAAAATCAAGAACTGTTCGGATTATATCCCCCGGACCTCTTTTTCTTTTAAAAAATCAAAAAATTTGGAATAAATCTAAATTCTTATTGATTGTGTCGATTATTTACACATATCGGGAAATACAAGCAAAGTTTCCTAAGACTTACAACTAATTAGCTAATTTTGTATCAGTTTTATTTTTGAAAAACTTTTTTCAGCATTTGCGGTTGAAACTGGGTAAATTGTATGCAAAAATTACTTCGGGAAAAATTTAAGCAAAAGTATTGAATTTTGACAGCGATATAATAAATATTGAATTTCATATTTTAGACATATTTTTCGAGTGTTTACAATTGGTTATAAAAATTAACAGAGATGATCTTACTGTATTTAGACGAAAGTTTCATGAAGACAGGTGTTTTTGCTAAATTACTCAAGTTGTAATTATTCGAACATACTAATTGAGTCGAAGTCTCTGTACTTTGTTTAATTTCAGAAATTAATATGTATATTTAGCAATAGTATATGTTGAGTTTGAAACAAGATTACGGGTTGCTATACTTTGCCTTTTGTTTTTGAAAACAGTCGTTTACGCTCCATTCCTTTGATAATTTTTCGAGACATTTAGCAAACTGCTGAATTAATTTTAATTTTTTAATTTGCACAAAATGACTTAATAAAATGCTAGTTTTCTATTCTATCGCAATCGCAACTCTCTTTATATTTTTACATTTTACACGCTCATGTTTTATTCGAAATTAAATTTAGTTGCAAGGAAGTTTTCATGATTACTTTAACTTTTGTTATTTGTAAAATAAGATAAAAATTCGTAAGATTCTATTAATATTTGGGCTGGTTGGGCCCCCATGGCCCGGAAAAATACACTTTAAAACAATAATTTTACATTTCTCTTAATGAAATTAAATTTCACTGAACAAATTTTTCACGATTAATTCGATTCTTATGAAATAATTTTTTTATTATTAATATTTGCTTACGGACGTTGGGGGCCCCTCTGGCTTGGGGCTGATATGGCTGATACGGCGGTAGTTACGCCCCTGATTCTGAAATATATAATTAGGTTCTAGGAGAGATGAATTAAAACCAAATTTATCTTTTAAACATATTTATTAACAAATAACCTACAATTCTAACATAAACTAAACAATTTTAATGTGAACCTTGTCCCTGTACATTTTTGCTTAACAATTCAATATCCGGGGTATAATTTGTTACTTTTAATTTCACACATGATTCTGAATGTTCAGTTGTTAAACGACTTCTTTGTGAACTCAAAATATTTTTCATGTGTGAAAAAATTTGTTCACAAAGATATGTGGAACCAAAAGCTGAAAGGAGAGCGCATGCAATTTTCTTTAAACAAATAAATCTTTCCGGCAATGACATCCAACAATTTAATATGACCGTCGATTTTTCTATAGAGTCATCTTCTAGATTTTTTCGTAGTTCTTTAAATTTTGTTTTCCATAATTCTGACGATGTTAGTTCGATAATTTCCATTTCTAAATTATCAACATTCATCCACTCGAAAATTGGACAATCGAACGGTATTGTTGATGAATCTAAATCTGGCTGTATGAGGAAGGAAAATATAGGCACATAAGCTTCAAAATCTTTGCATCTTTTGCAAAATTCATCTTTAAGTGCTTCAACGTAGGTTTTGAGTTCATTGTTGTTTACGGTCGATTCATTTGCAAGCGCTCTCACATTTGGGAAGTATTTGTAGGTGCTCGTGTTAATATCACGTAAAAATATATTTAATTTTGACGCAAATGCTGTCCAATATTCAAATAATTCGAGCACCGTTTGGCGCTTTCCTTGCAATTTCAAGTTTAATTCATTTAGATGATTTGTTACATCGGTCAGAAACATTAATTTGCCTAACCATTCTTCATCGTTCAATTCGGGGAAATGTTGTTCCTTTTCGTTAAGAAAAACTTTGATGGGTTCCAGACATGACACAAACTTATTTAAGACATTTCCCCGACTAAGCCAACGAACATGGCTGTATGAGGGAAGGTCAACATATTCACTTTCCATTTCTTCTAAAAGAGATTTAAATTGTCTGTGTGTTAGTGAAGAGCGAGACATTATAAAATTAACTATTTTAACAACAGTATTCATTACAGGAATTAAGCGCTGTGACGAAATTTTGGCAACTAAACTTTCCTGGTGTATTATACAATGGAAGTTCAATATTTTATGTCCAATATGATTTTCAAGAAGTTTGACAAATCCTCTATCTTTGCCAATCATTGCAGCTGCGCCGTCAGTAGTTACAGAAAATATTTTTTTGACATTAATGTTCTTGCTGTCAAAATAACTTATGAATGAAGAAAGAATATCCTCCCCCTTAGTTGTCCCATACAGAGGAATCAAAGTACACAATTCTTCATTAACTTGATCTTTATTACAATACCGTGCAAATACCGCAAGCCGCGCAATATCATTTACGTCGGTACTTTCATCAACAGCAACACTAAATGAAACAGCTTCTTGTAATCCAGCATTCTGTTTTGTTGTTACATTGTCTGCCATTTCAGTTATTCTTCTTTCAATTGTTCGCGCAGAAGCCGGTATTTCTTGAATTCGGGATAATATGGTTTGTTGGTTAGGTAAATCGCTAAACAACTTTTCAGCACTTTTTATAAAAATTTCCTTTATATATTCTCCATCTGTAAAGGGTTTGCCTTTGGCAGCTATGCAATGAGCAATTGCGAAGCTGCATTCTGTCGCTTTAGCCTTCGTTCCAGTCATTCCACAAAAAAAAGTTATTTGTTTCTTATAACAAGAAACAGCTTTCTTTATAGTTTCACATTTCTCATCGTTGCTATTAAATGTGGACTGATGTTTGGTTTGGAAATGTCTTTGTACACTTGATGTGCGGCATACTACACTTTCGCGGCATATCGCACATACAGCACGATCCTTTTGTTGTATAAATCCATATTCATTCGTCCAACAGTCTTGAAAACCGCGAACATCTAATTTTTGTTTCTTACTCTCCATTTGATTAAATACGAATGAATTATAACAAATATAAAATCAATAAGATACAAGTCTTTACAAAAAAAGTTAGAACGAAAAGTAGCGACCAAACGAAATGCAAGTTTAACTGCGCAAGTTTAAGCCCACCGCACAAGCACACAAGCAAATGGTGCGCAGCACTCGCAGTTGATAAACGAGAAAGAGGGGGGGGGGGCGAGTGATACTCCAGCATTCAGCTTCGTGAAGGCCGCTTCGATAACTACTCGGCACTGCACATGTTTCATCCCTTTTACTCCGAATGCGGTCTCAATCAACCTTCGCGCAGATTTTCATGAAATTAGCGAACCACATTATAATCAAACTTTCTCTCTTATTTTCAACATTTTCTCTTATTTAAAAATCACTTCGTCTCGATATATTTGCGATTTTCCTAATTCCTTTGTAGCGTGCCATTCAGAATCCCTTCGCGTGCCAAGCCTGGCACGCGTGCCGTAGGTTGCCGATGCCTGATCTAGAAGACTATGATATCTACCGCAAAAAAAATATATAAAAATCGTCGAATTTTTTTTTAAAAAAACTTTATTACAAGAAAACGGCCAGGCCGATCTCTACCAAAAACTAATCAGCACGATTACCAACCAATATCTTTCGAACGGTTCTTGAATTTTCAGAATCGATTCAGAATTGCGGGCTAAAACGTAGACGAAAATTTTTTCACTTTTCCTCGATTTATAAAGAAACGGCTTGGCCGATCGTCTCACAAAACTGACAAACAATAGTCCTCATCGAGATACATCTAGTGGCTTTTAAATTTTTGAAATCGGTCCAGCCGTTTTCGAGAAAACGTCGATTTACGGCAAAAAATCTGTTTACACACACACATACATACTTTTTCCAAATTAGGTCTCATTCGATTCAGAATGGCTTGAAACGTCGAGAAAACATAAAATTAGCGATTCGGATTTTTTGATGAAAACATAAACTTCTCCTTCGGGAAGTTAAAAAAAAACAAGTGCCGATTGCTTAATTCATATTTTCAAAACATTATTACCCTATTAGTCTAAATATAGTGGAACGTTTGCCGAATATAGGGCAACACCGTAGCCTTTGAGAGCATGTTTCACAAAGTGCCAGCTGGTTTAAAAACCAAACAGAGTCACCATTGTCAGTTACTGTCCAGGGATTACTGGAATCTAAAATCATGGCACACGCCATCTGCGACTACTGCGACACGAGTTCATTTTAGAACTATTAGTAGTCCAGTCGGTAGAAATGGCTTAAAAATAGATTGATGAGTTGCATTGAATTTATGCGTGCAATACGCCCGGCTATAAATTTCGGCGGAACATTTACAACCAACGAGAGTAATTGCTTTGCATAGGCCAAATTTTCATTTTCATTTTTGCTTACGTAAGCCAGGCGGTATTTGATAAAAATCCACTTTCTAACTTCCTGTAGTTCACCTCTAATAAATAAAAACCGATATATCGTCTACTTTTGATATAAATTTTAATGTGAATCAGGAGTAGAAGTGAAAAGTGAAAATAGTCGTTCGGGGGCATTGCTGTAACAAAAATACAACTATTAGATATACAGAAGAATGGTTATTCGATGGATTGCCCCTCGTGAAACATTAGATTAAGTTCTCCAAAAGCAGCTACTAGGACAAGTAGCTCTGAGTAGTTCTGGACTCAGCATTTTGTAGAAAATTCATGTTCAGACATTTTCAAGATTTGAAGAAAAAACGAATAATTTCCATATCTACTTAGCTATCAAAGGCATTGCGAAAATAAACATTCCAATTAATTCTAAGTTATATGTTTCACGTTTTGGTTAAATAAAATTTGATTTAATAATCATTCTGAGAATATCTTTTAAAGAGTTTGTCGTAAACAAGTTTCCTTACTGATTTTGCAAGAATCTTAGTGAATTACATTTTTTGTTAAAATCACATAGACCTAAAAACATTGTTCTAAAACAATTTATCTCTTGTGGTTTGAATCAAATCCAATGTTGAAAAATAATTTTATTGTCCCGTTCAAGCTCAGTATCGCGATAGGTTTATTATACAACAACTATAGAAACACGTTTTTATAATAAACATGGATAATCATATGTATGCTAAAATATAATTATTTTTGACCTAGACTATTAGACATATTATTTGTAATTATATTACAATGTATTTATGATGAAATGAACCGAGAACGTATGAACGAGAAAACTACTATTTCCTTGCACATTACAAATCAGTAATCAGAAGTCACAATCAGTAATAATATTCAAAACAAAAATTGCTAATTTATTTCAATAATATGTAATATATGTCATCAAAGTAATATGAAACAAATGCTAGCATTTACATAAAAATAAGATGACAGTCAAATTTCAAAAAAAAATCATTTCATAAATACCATTTATAAAAAATCAAAATTCAGAGTATATAAAAATTCAAAGATGATTAACCGTTCATAACTTCTCCAATGTGCTTCCAAACGATATGGGATTTTGCTTCGGCATTCAAAAAAATCATTCAGTAAAATCAAAATGGCAAATAACCGAGCTTCAGGCGCTTGGCAAAATGAACTGGGTCTCGATAAGCGCCCAAAGGTAGGAATGTAAGTCTTTGAATTGTTTTTAATATTAAATACTAACATTTTAATATTAAAATATAAAAAAAATCATGAATATTAACTTGATAAATACTTTTATATATTACTCCGATCGCATAAATTTATTTACATATCTAAGGATAACTTTGTAAAAAACCAAAAAATATTTGTATAATTTCATAAATATAAAATTAAATGGTTCTGTAAATCATTTATTTATATTACAGCTCACTTTATGCAAATACCATGCATAGTGTCTTGAAACTAGATAGATTTATTAAATATATGCAATATCAGATGTAGATTAGATGCAAATAATTATCAAAATTGCGAAACAATTTTTACAGAACATTAATAAAATATTTATTTCAAGAACAATGTTAGTGGAATAACACACACCAGAGCAGTAAGGTTGCCAGGAGGCCAAAATGGCTGTCAGGAAATTAGTCCCACTTGCCCATCTAAAGCGTCAATGAATGATGAAGATGAAGAAATATTATGCGAAGTATTACCAGATCAAACGTCGGTAAATTATTAAATGCATTTTGTAAAAATAAAAATTAATTAATATAATTATAATTTAATGGTTTAATATTAATAATAATTAATATGTAAAAATAAAAATTAATAATAAAATTATTTTATATACTTTGCTTCCAAAATATCAAATGTAATTTGTTCATATTCTTTTTAGACACGTATTGTGGGTAATATCGTAGAAAATCGGACCAGTGCAAGTTTTGTCATTAATAAAAAACCAAAAAACCCACCAAAGTCTAGAATTCCGGTACGAGCGCCAAAAATTAGAGAGTGTGCGCAAGAAGAATTTAAAATTCGCCAACCAGCAAAATATACAAGAATTCCGGCACGAGTGCCAAGAAGCAGAGTGTGTAATCAAGAAGAATTTAAAATTTGCCAACCTGCAAAATATAATAGATGTTTTCCACAACGGCCAAATCAATTGGGTTCCTTCCTCGACGATTATAATGAAAGTAGTGGCAGACAGCCACAACCGTGCGAACAACAAAATGTTTCTCCTGCGGTTGGCTCATTTGCTATCAGACGTCCGACAGAATATAATAGACGTTTCCCACAACGGCCGAATCAAATGGGTTCTTTTCTTGACGATTATAATGAAAGTAGTGGAAGACAGTCACAACCGTGCGAACAACAAAATATTTCTCCTGAGGATGGTTCATTTGCTATAAGACGCCCGGCAGAATATAATAGATGTTTTCCACAACGGCCGAATCAAATGGGTTCTTTTCTTGACGATTATAATGAAAGTAGTGGAAGACAGTCACAACCGTGCGAACAACAAAATATTTCTCCTGAGGATGACTCATTTGCTATCAGACGTCCCGATAACATGCGACAGTTCCAGTATAGAACACAATACAATGCGCGACGAACATGTCCAGAATCTACTCCCAGAAGAAGTCCTCCAATAACGGATCAATGTGCTAATGAAACTTATGCAATTGCAAAATCTAAAACACCAGATCAACGTGCCAATAGAACTTATGCGGTTGCAAGTCCTAATGCAGAAAGTTATGAAGATGACACATCATTTGTCATTAAGTGTCCTCCTAACATGCAAAGATTGAGACCAGCTATGAAAGCTGCAAATGCAGAATCAGCTTGTAGACGAGATCCATGTTCAGATATTGATGATGTTCAACAATGGTTGGATAACACAATGTCGGATGATTATGACAGATCATTTGCTCCACAACAGCCCAACCGCACATATGACTTTGTTAATACTCAGCTACAATCGACTCCTTATCAGAGAGGAAACGTCACTGATAGATTTAGTCCATACTATTCATCGGTGTCACCCGTTAACCCTCGAGGAAATTTGCCATACTATAGTCCAGCTGAGTTGGCAGTATCATGTCCAAATGATTGGGCGCCTAATAATTTAGTTGGAATATCTCCGCCAACACCGCGAAACATAACAAATCGCAGAGATAATACATTTTCCTTGCCGGAAAGTTCATATTACAAGGGGTTCGATGATTCTTATTGGAAAAGGACACCCATAAATAATTTCAATGAATCGCCTCCGGAAATGATAGATATGGGCGTAACCGAATTTTATGGATGGGAACCGAATTATACAACATCATTTTATTTCGAGCCTCCAGCCGAACTTCAAAATGCAGAAAATGTCTGTCCATTATCAAACAACGCTACATATAATGTTTGCCCTCAATCAAACAACGCAACATATAATGTTTGCCCTCAATCAAACAACGCAACATATAATGTTTGCCCTCTATCAAACAACGCTACATATACGGCCAAGCCAATGAATATTACGCAAACTCTTGATCGAGATCCAAATTATGCTTCAAACACTTATTCATGCCCAAAAGAAGAAGTGGCCGATGTGGAAAACACTTG